GATCAACAAAAGAATTAGTCTAGTATTCAGTATCAACTCTTATATTAAGTTCTAATCTGTCCCCCACTTATCACTATCACCACGCAGACTAATACCAAACTAGTAGTACTTCTGTACTATTTTTAAACCCATATTAAGACCTCTTACATTGACCTCTCGTGTTCTTTGAAGAACATTTAATAATTTAAGTTATTTTTGTCTCATTTTTATTTATCTATAATTACTTACAGGTCTACCTGATTATTAAAACTAAGAAAGTACTTTTTGAATTATACAATAAAATTTCTTGCATAATTATCTTATTCTATGAACCTTTCAAATACATAATTTTTTGTGATTAATTATCAAAGGTGAATGGAAAAGGGGAATAACTTCTCTCAGTAAAATACAAATTAAAATAGAGCCCTGCCCAGGACCAGAATGCTTAACTAAATGGTCCAGATGTTCAAAAATCTGGTAAAAATACCCTTACTTATATTATTAAAACTTTTACTCAGTTTGCCTCCAATATGCCCAGAAGCAGAGAAGAATTTCACAGGTACAATGCCCTCATCATTTGAAAGCTAACCCTTAAATAAATCTAGCTTAAGGAGACTTGCATCTTGTCTGATTGTAGTTAAAACTGAGTGAACTCGTTTTCTTGTCACAACAAGAAAAAAAATTGGAGAGATTCCCCTATAAGGGGTCTTTTTTTTTTAAGCATTTATGGTGTCAAGGTTTCTTATCTCAGTAGGCAAAGCATTGCATAATGATATTGTTGATGGAAAAAATGAGTATTTTAGTAAGATTATTCTACACTGGGGTATGACAATATTATTACAATTACGTAAATCGTAATGGGTAGTTTGCGAAACTTCAGGAAGTGCTCTGGCGCGAGACTATGTATTATTTTAAACATTAAACTTCCTCTTTTCTGCTACAGAAATGGACGTACCATATCTCTTTTTTTTTTCTTTTATTTACAATGACAGAACTAGCACAATTTTTTTTATTTTTTATGCATATTCTATCCAATGATTTCACATTGGAAGTTTCCTCATTACTGCAAAGTACTTTTAGAGCGATCAAACTAAGTAAACGTTCTTTTTCCAGACTCTTTGTGTTTTCCCTTTACAATATATGGTTCTCTGCATAAAATAAGAAAAAGTAATTACCTTAGGAAAATATTGATCTTGTCGCATAAAAATTTATCAACATATTCATAAATAAAAATATTTATGTGTATGTTTTGTAATGCTGATTTTTGATGTCACACATTCTCTTGTTACTCTATATTTAGTTACAAGATTCTGTCCTTCAAAAAGGACTGCAATAAGTGGACCATATTCGTGTGTTTCTTACAGAAATAAAAAAAAAATTAAAAAAAATCTCTGTTGTAAGTGCTAATGCATTAAAATACCTGTGCCACTAATTCAAAATTTCTGCACCAGAGTTACTGAATAAAAGGTCATTAATAATCGTAACTAATAAAATTATTGGTCGAGCCAGCTACTGATACTTTTGGCACACTCTTTCAAATCTAACCCATCGACTGATGACATCTTGCACATTTGATGAAAGGTAGAGAGCAAATTTCACAGGATGAATGATTAATAACTATTCCATTTAAATAGGTGTGAAATGTAAGTTTAATCGAAACCTTTTCCGGGAAAAACAATACTGTGGATTGAAATTCATGACTCTTTCGTTGCACAGGCAATGCACAAACATTAATTTAACATCCGTTTCGTTTATTTGTACAAAAATTTTTTTTTGTGATATATTATTTTCTGATATATTATAATTATTCTCTAAAAATTGTTTTTCCCTGTTTGGAAATAGAAGGTGTAAAAACCAGAAATTGTTTCAGTCTATCTGGAAAATTACTTCATTTCATTGTTTAATTTGCAAACACTGATAGTAATTTGAGAAACAAGGACCGAAGTTGTGATTGTGCTAATTTTTTTTATTAAATAGATTTAAATACTCATTTTAACGATTCTTTTTCTTAAAATGTAAACTCGTCAAAGTAGTTTTTGCACTTATTGTAGTAGTTTTAGTGAAAATGTTGAATTTTAAATAATATTTTTGGGACAGATTATTCAATTTTCATGCTTTTTGTTTAAAAAATAAAGCATGTCAGTCAAGTTCAAGTGCACAATAAAAAATGTTCTTTTTTAGTAATATTTGTACATAGGATGGCACTAATCCTGATCCCAATCTCTACACGATTCCGCCATTGTATTATGTTACGTTTGACCTTACTTGACACTAAAGTTTGATTGCTTTGATACGTTTATTTTATTCTTGCTTTTAACGTTAACATGCAGGATTAATGTGCAAAATCATTAAAATTATTACTGCTTCGTTAAATTATCCAATTTATTCCGGCTTTCTCTAGACGCAGTGGTGAAATTCTGACCTGACGATTTCCGTGATTTCTCAGGACATAAACCTTTGATCAATGACAAAGTCAGTCCAAGAATGTGTACAGTCATGTTATTTTATCAAACCCTTTGCAATATTATAAGCTACATGTACATGTGTATACCATTCGATAATGGTTTTATTTATACATTCCCATTAAATTAAAATTTGAAATTGAAATTTCAGCCTCTTAGACTTGATAAAATATTAATACCCCGGTATTACTCAGTATTGGTAGAACTGTATTGGTTTTTTTTTTTCAAACATTTTTAATTTACATGCTACTTGCATGCTCATAATTCATGCGCTGATCTTACCACTTATAAAGATTTGGCAGCATTGCATTCAGTATAATATATTTATCAGGTCTGGGGGACCTGGAGACAACTGTTTCCCGTAAGTATATATAGTTACCTGCCAAAATAGCACTAACTGAATTTCACACATTAATAATATCCAACCATCGACAGAGCGGCTGAATATTGACTAACAACTGAAAACGGCAAGTACATCCAAAGAAATACAAGCGAAATCTTACATTCTGAACATCATTCATAAAGACACACTCGGCATTTAAAAACTTTCACACTGATCACTATGTTGGATAAAGTAGACTACTGAATTGTCTAAGTTCTGATTTTACTTTGAGCAGCATGCATTCATTTTATGATACATGTATCCACTTTTCTTAGAAACAAAGCAGTCTAATGCAGGTGACAAAGGACATGGCAAAACTTAACTTGTTTTAAATTTTTTGGACAATATTTTATGTAAATTCGACCAAAACTAAATTGTCAACATGTTCGAAATCATGATACGCTTTCTACTACTTGATATTGTGTTCATCTACAAGGAATTCCGATCGAGTTGCAACGGACGAGCTAAAGATAATGCTGAGCGTGGTTCTAATTTAAGAGAAGTCTTGAAAATCCAACTCTTAACATTCGAATACCCTTTTTCCGTGCAAATATAAAACGAAATAAAAAATTAACCAAAAACATTTGCTTTCATGTACTCGTGAATATATTTTAAAATATGAAACGATTATCCATCGATTGAGATATTCATGAGATTACAGTTTGAGTTAAGCAATGGGTTTGAAAAAGAATGATAACCTATTTCTTCGTGCGATTCTGATGATTATCTCCTTCATTTCATCAGCACTAAATATAAAATATAATATCCGATAGGACATTCTTGTGAATTTAAGAGAGCACCACATAATTCCGGAAAAATAAATTGCATGTCAAAATACAAGGTGATAAACCTTATTCTCAATAACTGTATTCATCTTAGTTTAAGAGATAAATCGGATTAACCGACTTCTCAAAAATCAAACATTTTTTTAACACAATTAATTTTAAGGTATGTCACTCGTCAGCTTTTGAGAAAATTTTGATCAGAACCTTTAACTTCAAAATTATTTAGTATACTTCAATTTTTATGCCATATTTGAATTAAACAATGCAAATTATACTATATTCAAATTAAAAACTGCTCAAAAAATTGTGAAGAAACAATATTTAATGGGGGCTATTTCTTGTGGTGGAAGGATATTTAGAAGTAATTTTTTCAAATCTTCACATTTCGTTGATTTAATATCTTGGAATTTTAGCACTACATATTTTTACTCGTACACAAGTACACTTTCACAAGTACATTACCTGTGAGAAGACATTTCCAAATACAGTATACTACAGTTTTTGACCCCGTGACCTTGAAGTTTGACTTATTTTTCAAAAATTCTAACATTAATTTAAATTGTTCATAACTTTTGAAAGCGAAAAGATAGGGCTTTCATATTACACATGTATATTATATGTGACAAGACCTTTCTGAATATACCATAATTTTTTGACACCTTGACCTTAAAGTTTGACCTACTTTCCAAAAATGTTATCTTTCCTTATAACTTTAATTGAGAAGAGATAGGATTTTGATATTTAACCTGTGCATTACCTGTGACAAGATGATTTTTGACTCCTTGACCTCGACCTTCATGTTTGACCTAATTTTCAAAAAAAATTATCTTTCGTGATTACTTTTAAATGACATATGATGGGGCGTTCATATTTGACACAGTATGCCATAAATAATGGCATCCCATCCACTAAGACACCGGAAACGGGGGACCAGAATTCTTTGAATTTGCTTGTTGGAATTTTTATTTGTCATTCACTATTTCAACTTGAATGCTGTGAATGCATTCACTATTTATTTGTTCACTTCAATATTGTATATTTTTATACTTCTTCAGCTTTGATATTGTATTAATTTTTGCAATGAAATTGTGTGTCTGTGAAAGACGATCATTATAATTGATATTTATTTAATAGTTTTTTTCACATCGTTAATTAATATACAATGTATTATACATTGACGTGAAATGACAATTCTGTTTGTGCCAACCTACACATGTAAAGTGCTTCCTACTGGAGATTCATATTTTAAACCAGAAAAAATATAATTATGCATTTTTATTACAGAAAACAAGAATACTACCTTAAACAGGAAGTAGACCATGCTTCCTTCGTCTTTAATTATTTGTGTAATTATGGAAAACAGATTTTACTATCTTTTAATTTCTTTTTCAGATTAATTGAGAAACAATCAAATTTTACACATCTGGACAATTCAACTCTCCAGTACTACTCTAGTCTAGAACGATTGTAAGTAAATTTTTTGTCCTTTTTTTAAAATGTTACACTTAATTGGAAAGAATTAATGCAAAAATAGGGTTAATCGATATTCAGTCATTACTGAAATGTTACATATACTCAAACATACACGTTTGAAAAATTTAACGAGACGAGTTTAACACCGAGTTTAAATTTTTATACTTCTTTATAGATTGAAACTTTGTCAAGTAGTATACATGTACATGTATATATATATATATATATATATATATATATATATATATATATATATATATATATATATATACAGTGTATAGAATACTTTCATTTTATTTATTTAATCAATAGACTGATTGAAGATACTGGACTGAAGTGGATAGACTCCAATGCTCTCAAACCAAACAAACAGCTGAAAACTCTGTACGTAAATATTTACATAGATAAAAATTAATCATGGACAAAGCTCAATGTTGTATCTAAACAGAGCTAAACTTTTCATCCTACTGTGACAATTCCTTGCCTATTTGGAAACTAAAGGCTTAATTCAACAATACACGATAATTCTCAAATACTTATACATTCTATAATTTAGGCATTTTGTAAAATCACTACATTTACATGAGCATCCAAACCTTGGATAAAACTATCCATTAATAATGTATTGTCATGTTCTAAATTTCGAATTTACCTATGAGAGTAAATACAAAGTTGTCATGTTCTAAATTTTGTATTTAACTCCCACCCGGTAAATTTAAAATTTAGAACATGACAGTATTTTTAACTAAAATACCTATTTTGCTTGATTTAACAGCATGCTGAGCATTCGACATTAAATCCAAATCAAATTCATGTAAAACATTCTAAAATTTCATGAGCCATTTTGAATGGAACATATAAAAAAATTAATCTGGTACAAAACTGAGTACAATGTGCGGAGAATTTTCTCTTTTGGAAAAAACAATATTCTTTTCAGAATCTAGCCGTTCTGGATTTCTAGTAGAGAAATGGTATTCAACCCAAATTTCCAAAAAAGTTTTTACTTTCAAAATTCCATATGAGGATAGAAAATCTTTTAAAATGTTGCAATTTTCAAAACCCCATACTTCTACACCATAAGAAAAATAACCCCCTTTGTTTTTTTTATTTTAATATGAATTATTTCCCCTTTGAAGGAGAAGGAGGATTATTTGTATAAAATGTACATATTGCCATTGACTTTAGCGCGGTTTCAATGGGCAAATTAGTTACAGGGAAATCAATCCAAAATGCCATAAAAAAAATACGTTCCCCTTTGTGACCAGAATAACTCACTTGAGCATCAGATGTAAACTATGTAGATCATATTAAATAATTATTGGCCATGACAGATCAATACAAGAACTTCATATTTACAGTTACGTTGCTGATAAAAAAGGTCTGGATTTATCTATGAATACCTTAAATGAAGATGAAACACAGAAGCAAACCTATTTTATTTTGACCAGTCTCAAGGTCATACAGAATGTCTTGTCAAAACGCATTTTATAAAAGAAAAACATGTTTACAATTGGTAAACTAAAGCACACACCTTCTTAGATCCAATATCCGTTTATTTATATCACACGGACGTATAATAACAATGCGGAAAGCCACCCAGAGCGTTAGACTAAAAGAAACTTAAATACGAGAGCCATAAAAACGTCGCTGTAATAATTCTTTAATTTTTGTCAACATCGAAGCAATTTTTTTTTTATTATTTTTTCTTCCTTTATCTTTTGCTAGCTCACCTGAGCAAAAAGGCTTTTGTGAACACTTCTGATTGAAATTCTTTCACCAACAACTCCTACCCCCCCCCCCCCCATCTTAGACGCACGATATCGTATTGATATACATGTTATTCTATGGATATGCATTTTGATTTCTTCTTTAAAAATCTATTAATTTAAAAAAAAAGTTTTTTTCTATTCTAATACAGATTTTTTTCGAATGAATCCAGTCACGTGATGACTTCTAAAGTAGTGAATATTCAACTAAAGCTACTTTCTATTTGTTCTTAATTGTTCAATTAATTATAAATAACTCAGAGATTTTCTCACAACTTTAAAGAAATTGTTGTAATGTTTTAGTTGATCCTAATTCCTAGACTTTCTATTGAGTTGCCAATGAGCCGAGTAAGTCGATATTGTAACGGCTTCCTTATTTACGTCAAAATTAAAGATGCGGTCACCTGCGTTCAAGAGTTTTTCGTAGACCTTGCGTCGAGAGTTCTGCAGGACACGATAATCAGTCATTCGGATGAAACCGAGGTCCCGTGTTGCAGTAGTTACTTGCTCGAAAAAGATCGTTACTGCTCGAAGCCGATCTTAATTTGCAGTCTTCCCTGCGATAGGTGGCGTCCCTCAAAGAGTGAAGAATTCTCAAAGGGACTCAAAGCTAGGGAAGCAAAAGAAACAAACACAAGACGCATGAAGTGTGTTTTATTGTACCCGTCATGTTCTAAACTCTACATTTTCAGCCACAGAATGCCCCTGGTTAATGTTTTATGAGTAGGTTTAAATTTTTGGAGCAGGATCAAGTTTTTTGAAGCAGGTCTCATTTCCAAGTAATAATAACTCTATGGTGACCAAACTTGCAACATCTAATATACACACTACCAGACTTGTTTCAGATGCTGGAACTGTCCTACATTACGCCGGATGAGTGACCAAGTTGAAGGTTTTGGAGCAGGTCAATTCTCAAGTAACTGTAAGCGCTTTGGTGACCAAACTTGCATAAAAACTTGCATAAATGATACACCTATGATCCATACTTCCAAACTTGCTTCAGATGCTGGATCTAACCTACATTTTCCGGATGAGTGACAAGTTTGAAGTTCTTGGAGCAGGTCAAAAACCAAGTAACTTTAAGCTGTTTGATAACTATAGCATCTAGGTACATGTATGTGCACTATCAGACTTGCTTTGTATGCTGCATTTGACCTGTGTTTTCCGGATCAGTGTTCAGGTTAAAGTTTTTGGCGGAGGTTCATTCCCTAGTAACTTTAAATCCTACTTAGTCCAAACTTATCTGGTTAATATATACATCTTCGGACGCTGGGTCTGACCTATATTTTCTAGACAAGAGATCAGATTAATGTTTTGGAGCAACGGGTCCATTCAAAAGTAACTATAGGCGCCATGGTAGCCACACGTGCATGCATGATGCATGTAGGTATCCACACTACCAGACTTGATTAAGATATGTTTAACCTGACTAAATTTCCGGATGATGGATGATGCATCTGGGTATGCACACTACCAGACTTGGTTCGGGTGCTGTTCGTACTAGACTTACATTTTATGGGTGATTGAACAGAAAAAAGGTTTTGAATCAAGTCCATTCCCAAGTAACTAAAAATCCTAGCCCAGAAATGTTGCATCAAGGCTGCATACTATCAGAATATTTGATTTGGTGTAAGACTTTGCCTTACTCTAAGATAACATTCGTCGAGATGAGCTAGGTAATCTATTTAAGTACCTTGTATGTTTATCCTTGTGATTCAAACATATATTTCAATTTTGCGTACACGCTTTCCTTTTCATACCCCCGCAACTTCTTAACTTCTTTTTTATTCATACTCAAGCCTATTCAGAAAGCTATTTTGTGGTGGAATTCTGAGATGTGTTGGTACTTATAATGGTTGTTCATAATTTTATAGGTGGCCATTACGATTTTTTGTCAGAAACCGCTTGAGCGCATTTGCTTATTAGTGCCTCCTTCACACCTCACTGGATAACGCTAACGGACGTCAAACACATGAAAAAAAGGCTACAAAACTCAGTCTGCTGGTATTCAGTCCTCTCTGAGTGTACAAAACGGCTATCAACCGTATGATCACCGGACATGTAACAGTCAAATAATGGACTTTTTCTTTGAGTAACGAAGGAGCACCTTAAAATATGATGCGCAACGCTAAAGAAACTTTAGAAAACAGGTCTCGAACTGTAGACTAACGCACGCGGACGGTGTTTAAAGAATGTCCGGTTTATCTGTTGCACGGCCGGCAGTTGCCCAGCTGTGATTCGAGTCTAATGGACATCAACAACTGTCAAGTTCAGAAAAAGAAACTTATGAGTTTCGTAAAAAAATCTTGCTACCAGACAGAACCAACTTCACCAGACCTTGCATTTGTCGGACATAAAAATAAATGAAATGTGAAGATAACGGTGGATCCATTTAACCAATTTGTAAGCAAGCCAAAACGGACCTCTGAAAAGAAAAGTGGGATCAGGTGCAATTGAGGAGTAATCATCCCCTGTCAATTATTCCTTGTCATGTAGAGTAATCGGGAAAATCTGTTACAGAAGTTATTCAAAAATAACTAACGTAGAGAAACACAATTAAACGGAGACAAACGGATCGGAAATATTGTTATCCTTTTGACGTCCTGAAGCGTTTCCTGTTTAATTAAATTGAACTGATTTCTTATTGCTCGGCTGAGCACCATACACTAGTTTATTAACAATGATCTGTCATATTAGCCATAGACACCTAGCTAAGCTTTACAAATGACTGTACAATGATCGAGTTGGATATTAGCCATTGACACCTAGCTAAGCTTTACAAATGACTGTACAATGATCGAGTTGGATATTAGCCATAGACACCTAGCTAAGCTTTACAAATGACTGTACAATGATCGAGTTGGATGTAGGAGACATTTTTGCCAGACTGTAGGTGTATATTATGAAAGTTCTATTAATAAATTTAACCTAACACGCCATTTTAATGACAAAATCCGCTTTGAGTCATATTTCTTTTCTTTATTCTGTACATTCCACAGTCTGGAGTTTTAAGATTACCCATTATCTTTCTTTGAAATACTGTAATATACAACTAAAAGACTGTAATTCTCTGAAGAATCGGTTGTTTAATAGTTCAATTTCATGAAGATTAATTCTACGCTGTCCATAGCTGTCTATGGCTTTCTCTAAAGAAAGGTATTTCTGTGTTAAATAAAATGTAAAGATTCTTCTTTGATCAAAGTAAGATTGGTTAATATCCTTAATACTAGTACTATACACGACATGTCAGATAGCAGTTTTTCTTTAAAACCTTTATCGCCAAGGAACAGAAAAAAATACGAATGGACAATACCTTGAAGCTTAAAAATTAGTTTAAATAAATATATATTTTATTTAATTTACTGTTTCAAGCTGCATGATCAGCAATTATTTTTTATCTATCTTATACAGTACTAACCTGCATGATCATAATTATAGCATTTAAACACTACAGTTCTCCTGTACGTGTCCAATCAGTATAACATTAAAGGCAGAGATGACCAAAAGGTCTATGTAGTCTAGGGTTAAAGAGAAGGGGAATCAATTTCAACTTCGAATCAAGCGTGGAAATATACAAAGTCGAGGCGTTTATCAATCAAGAAAACAAAATTCCAAAAACCCAACAAGGAGGAAATGTATATTTACGTGGTTGATTTTGGTCTCACAAACTGGTATCTATTTGTCCGTTACAAAAATCGGGTTCGGGATACACATCTGAAACAAACTGAATTTATGTTGTTGCACATGACCTTCAACTTTGTGAAGGTCACATCTCATAAGTCTAGATCAATAGCCAATCAGATCAATTGAACCTTTGATTGAATGATTTTAGATTGAAACAAAGACAAAATTAATCTTAAAGGTACTGTCATTGGAAAACGAAGCCTTAAGATGATTCTTTTCAATGACCTACATGTATGTACCCAACAAGATTCGTATCTCCAACATCAAGGTCACCAAGCCATAAATAGTCCAAGTCATTAAAATGATTTGAAACCAGTGTTTTTATCGGCTTAATAAGTTTAGATATGTTTTGATCACGTCTGTCTATTTATTGTAACCATGATTATATCTAATTCCTTGAAAGTCGTTAACTATTGTATTACATATATTTGTACTCGTATATTGATTCTAAAGACTCTGCTTCTTGTCACAGTATCTAATAATTACAGCAAAGTTTATAATTGGTTATAATATGGCTAGGATTTCATTGATATTTAGGTTCATTTTTGCTGTAAAACTGCGTAAAAGTACAAATGTTATTCATTTTTCATTTTTGGATTATTGGAATATTAATACTTCATGATCATTGTTAAAATGTTGAACATTTTTAGCTTGAATTATTTAAAGGTTTAAGCGATTAGTCATAAAATAACAGTATCCCTTAGGGTGAGATTCGTCTCAATTTTATTTAAGTCCATATTATTACTTTTTTTTACTTCTAAAGCAGAGATTAAAAGCTTGCATAAGATCAGAACAAAAAAGCAAATAATAATGAAAAGAACATCCTTCGTCTTATTAGGAATGGGTCCTATATTTCTCCCGTAGTTCATGTTTTTTCCAGCAATTTCATCAAAATGTCAAATTCTTTGCCTTAAAGAAACTTGGACCCATCATTGGATTATGTGTTCAGGCTGTAAATTAAATTAATATATATGAAATATATATATATATGAGTTTCGATGACAAAGCAAAACTTGTTCATTTATGAATGGAAATCAATTACATTTCACAGCGACAAATGTTGTGATCCAGACAATCTTAACAAGTCGATAATACATGTAAATTCCGAGATACGTTGAATTACATTTTCATGTTCAACCGTGAACCTACATGTACACTTTATCTGACAACTTAATTTTAGAAGAAACATGAAGAAAAACACAACTTAAGCCTAATATAAAAATCATAATGTAAAAATGCGATTTTTAGGTCACCTGGGTCACTCAGGTGACCTATTGCTATCCGTTTTTGTCCGTCGTCGTGCGTCGTCCGTCGTGCGTTAACTTTTGAACATTTTCAACTTCTTCTCTAGAACCGCTCAACCAATTTCAACCAATTTTGGCATATAGCTTCTTTGGGTGAAGGGGAACACAAATTGTGAATTTCATGTTCCCTGCCCCCCTGGGGCCCCAGGGGTGGGGCTAAAACCACCAAAATTGATGCAATCTTTAAAAATCTTCTTCTTTACTCCTGGACATCAAGCAGTCAAACTGTTGGCATGATTGTAATAAGCATTGGGCCCTCTACCTAAATTGTGAAATTCATGGCCCCAGGGTCAGGGGTTCTGGTGCTAGGGCGGGGCTCTATTGATTATATAGTGAAAATGCATTAATTGTTTGAAAATATTCTTCTCTGCTCCTGGGTATTATTTAAACAAACTAAAAGCATGGTTATGACAAGCATTGAAGCCTTTTCCAAAATTGTGAAATTCTTGGCCCCTGGGTCAGGGGTTCTGGTGTTAGAGGGGGGGGCTCTATTGATTATATAGTGAAAATGCATTAATTCTTTGAAAATCTTCTCTGCTCCTGGGTATTATTTAAACAAACTAAAAGCATGGTTATGACAAGCATTGGTGCCTTTCCCAAATTGTGAAATTCATGGCCCCTGGGTCAGGGGTACTGGTGTTGGGGGGGGGGGGGGGTCTATCGATTATATAGTGAAAATGCATTAATTCTTTGAAAATCTTCTTCTCTGCTCCTGGATATTATATAAACAAACTAAGTGCATGGTTATGAGAAGCAATGATGCCTTTTCCAAAATTTTGAAATTCATAGCCCCTGGGTCAGAGGTTCTGGTGTAGGGGGGGGGGGCTCTATTGATTACATAGTGAAAATGCATTAATTCTCTGAAAATCTTCTTCTCCGATCCTGGGTATTATTTAAACAAACTAAGTACATGGTAATGGTGCACAAGGATGCTTTTTCCGAAATTGTGAAATTCTTGGCCCCTGGGTCAGGGGTTCTGGTGTTGGGGGGGGGGGGGGGGCTCTATTGATTATATAGTGAGATGCATTAATTCTTTGAAAATATTCTTCTCTGCTCCTGGATATTATTTAACATACTAAGTGCATGGTTATGATGCACAAGGATTCCTTTTTCAAAATTGTGAAATTTATGGCCCCAGGGTTTGGGAGGGGGGATCTATTGATTATATAATGAAAAAGCATTAATTCTTTGAAAATCTTCTTTTCTGCTCCTGGTTATAAAGTAAACTAAGATGTTCTGGTGTAAGGATGGGACTCTATTGATAATGTAGTGAAAATGCATTAATTCTGTTAAATAATCCTCTCTGCTCCTTAGTGTTGAGCAGATAAATAAAGTGCATTAGTTATGATGAACAATTGTGCTTCTTACAAAATTTTAAAACTTGTGGTCTTCAGGTTTTGGTGTTTCTCAGTTGGGGGGGGGGGGGTATATTTATTAATAAAATGAAAATCTGTTAATTCTTTGAAAATCTTCAACTAAGTGCATAGTTATGATGATGAGGGTACCTCTACCAAATTTATGAATTTCATGACCCTGTGACATGGGTTTTAGTGTTAGGGTAGGGGTGTGTTGAATCTGTAATGAAAATGCATTACTATTTTGAAAATCTTCTCTGCTCCTTGGCATATTACGGAAGCCGGTAGGTGCCAGGTAGAAAAATATTTTATCTGGCGGCCGCCAGATAACTTTCTGGCGGCCGCCAGATAATTTATCTGGCGGCCGCCAGATCTTTTTATCTGGCGGCCGCCAGAAAATTATTTGGCGGCCGCCAGATAAAATATTTTTTCTACCTGGCACCAACCGGCTTCCGTAGCATATCGAAGGCAAATAGAATTAAAGTTTTAATAAGCAAGGATATTTTTACCAGATTTTTGAACATCAGGACCATTTGGTCAAGTTTTCTGGTCCTAATCAGGGCTCTATTAATTTGTGTTCAACTGAGAGAAGTTATTCCCTTGGCCATTTACTTTTGATAATTAATCACTGTAAATAATGTATTTGAAAGTTAATAGAATGAGAGAATTATGCAAAAAAAAATTATTGAATAATACAAAAAGTACTTTCATAGTTTTAATGATCAGATAGACTTGTAAATAATAAATAGATAAAAATGAGACAAAAATAACTTATTAAAATGTTCTTCAAAGACCAAGAGAGGCCAATGTGAGAGGTCACAATGTGAGGTTAAAAGTAGTACAGAGGAACTATTAGTTTGTTAATAGTCCGCATGGTGATAGTGCTAAATGGCGGATAAATTAGAATTTAATGTATGAGTTGTTACTGAATACTAGACTAATTATTTCATTGATTCTGATCATCCTATTTCTCTTGCTTTTGGGCAACAAAGCTTCATCTGTCAGTTTATTTTATACTCTATGGATCTTCTAAATTGTTGTATTATATATACTCAGGTGACCGTTAAGGCCCTTGGGCCTCTTGTTAAAAACCTTTTTTGTCGAATCTGCTAGATTATCTTATGTACTATATAATATATCATGTGAGAAAACTATTCTCTGTCTCTCTCTCTCTCTCTCTTGCAATTGTGTTTATTACATTATTAATCGACTTTGTGACTTCATAATAAACTACATGATGTTAAATACGGAGCTACAATAATTAAACACAATGAAATCCAATCAGTCTCAAAAAAGACAATAGATCTTAAAAATTGAACTACAGTTAGCTATTTTTTAAGCTTCAGCATAGTAATCAGACTCTGAACTGCGATTTTATTGACCTTGTTTTTGATGTATTTCTTCCTTTAATTAAAGGTTTTTGAGACGTAACAAGCTGACATACCTTTCTTGGGAAGTAATTGAGGATATGCCAATACTTAAACTGTGAGTGTTGTTTTGTGCAATGTGTAAAGCACTCTTATTTAGAAAATGTCATTAAATTGTCTGTTCTTGAGGAGTTGTTCATTATATAAACGGTCACATTTTACCACCAGAAAGTATTGAACACAATTCCACCCCTCCCCCCCAATTTATTGTCAGTTTTCTTCAGATGCAGTACACTAGTGTGTCCAGTGTTATTCTCTGTTGAATAATAAAATCACTATAACATAAATTTATACAACATACTTAAATATAAGATTGTACTTAAATTTAATACAAGTTTTACACTAGAAATGAAGTACGAAAGCCGGATAGGCTCATTTTTGACAAGACAAAAAAAAATATTTAACTCGTTATAACGAGTTAGTATCTCGTTATAACGAGTTAGTTAACTCGTTATAACGAGTTATTTATCTCGTTATAATGAGTTAGGTATCTCGTTATAACGAGTTAGTTATCTCGTTATAACGAGTTAGTTATCTCGTTATAACGAGTTAGCTATCTCGTTATAACGAGTTAGTATCTCGTTATAACGAGTTAGTTATCTCGTTATAACGAGTTAGTTATCTCGTTATAACGAGTTAGTTATCTCGTTATAACGGGATAATTATCTCGTTATAACGAGATAAAAATTGACCTAAAGGGTTGATATATCTAAGTAATAAAAGTAAAGAATAGACCATTATTTATAGGAAATATACAGAAGCGAGTCGATCAGATTTGTTTGAAGTGTGCCTGATAAAGATTTTATGGAACAACAGCATACTATATTTTTGTGTTATGCCTTTGATTAGTATTGTTTATTGGAAAGGAAACTTGTGACCGCCTCATGTTGTTGTGTTATACCTTAAAATTGCAAAAATAGAATTAGTGACATCTTCAAATGGAATGTATATAAAGTCAAAATTTTGTCAACTTGTACAAGGAGATCAGAACAAAATGATATACTCTGGCTGATTTAACTGCCCCGTTCAAGCTGTCTTGACTTTGTAAATTCATGATAATTTTTGCGTAATATTTGTCGCAATAAAAAATGCATAGGAATAATCCCATTATTTTATATATTCCGAATAAATCATGTGGATATGAAACCATTTGTTAGGCTTTAACGATCATATTTTGATAATTCCTTGCCTGTTAACAAGGAATACCAGTTCAATTTTATCGTCTTAAAGGGGCAAGATCAAAATTCAATGTCTGACAAAAAACTAAATTCACGTTGTTTTTATCATCAATCCCTCCTTCTCCTCCAAAATAAATATGATGAATATCAAGAACTAATAATGTACTTATCACTTAATAATTTATACATGTATATTTCTTTTGTGTATTGAAAGAAAGAAACATTTTAATTTACCAATTTGGCATGAAATCTCATGTACATTGTGTACAATATGTATTTTTTGCGTTATTATCAATGTTGTAGAATAAAAAAAAACTTTTGGAGCTCTTTATTCTACGGAAGCCACAATAAAAGGTGAAGGTCAACATTAGTAAAAATAGTTGACATGTGATCCTTTTTGGGTATAGAATGAAAGTTTAATATCTAAAGTTTACAATATGACACGCATTAATTAAGGTGTATTTCAAGCATAAATTATGCCTAGAAATGTGTATTGTATCGTGAGACAGGATTTTTGATATTTGATATTTTCACTCGTGCTTTGCACTCATGAAAATATAAAAAAAAAATCCTGTCCCACTCGTGAAATAAATTCCATATCAACTACAAAACATTGAATATCCTCTATTTATTACCACTCCCCCCCCCCCCGCCCCTCAAAAAAAAAAAATCATCAATCTCTTTTTGAAATAAAAATTATATGCTTGCAAAGTATACATAATAAATATTGTGATGAGGAAAAAAAATTAACGACATTGCTTCAATGTTGTATTAATAATATACATGAACATATGTAGTATTAGGCCTATTCGTTGATCAATTCTAAGTAAAAAGATTAAAAAAGTGAACTGGCTTTGTAAACTCTGTAAACTTTTTTTTTTGCTTTTGTAAACTCTGGTTTGATGTTTTGTCACTATGTGGTAACACAGGATCCGCCAAATAGACGTGAATCTCAAATAGGTCTCCAAAGAATCTCCACAGCTTGGACCCCCCCCCCCCCAAAAAAAAAATATAAACAGTGAATCATGACAGAATATTAGATAAAATGTCAATATCAGCAGATCAGATCTAACGTCTTATTACTTAGTAGGATGTAATATCATTTTTGCTTCATCATTCCTCATCATCGTGGACAATCTGCATAAGCGTAGTCCCAAAGTTCAAGGGGGTGGGGGGGGGGGGGGGTAAACCAAGTAAAATATTTGACAAGCAAAAAGAAAAAAAAAGATCTGATATTCCAACTACGAGTATTCACCATTATTTTCGGGAGATATTTACTCAGGTAAAGAAAATATGGAGGAAAGGGCACAAAGATACTCTTGACCGCCCCCTTTTCAAAAGTGGTATTACTACGCCTATGATCTAACTGCTGATGTCTCACCATCCCCCTTCTTCAAAACATTTCTGAATCTCAAAAGTAACATATGTATCACACAGTAATCGTATATATTATATGTTGCATAAACGATATGTTGCACTGTTTCTCTGATATTTAATTTTAGCGGTATAGAAATTGATATATGAAAGTGTAAAAGTCGTCCAAAACATGTCGAAATAGTGTCATTCATTAGAAATAGTTGTAATAAATAAATTGCCAAATATGAAGCAAGTATGTTTGGCAGTATCATTTTAAGAAAAATATCGCGTCCTAATGCATCAATTTGAGGAGGCGTTCACGAATTAATGTGTAAATATGTTCTCCTTTGAGTTGCTATACTTATCAATATATGATTATTGACAGCGAGATAGTTCAAGATTTAATCATAAGTAAACCCCAGAGCAAATATTAAATTTTCAACCATTTATCAATTACTCAAGCTGAATTTGAATGATAATTACTAGCTAAAAATTCAATGGCATTAAAAACTACAGCCATTTTTATTCCTATATTGCTATTAAATCTCGAAATGACGAGAAAACTATCTCGTTATAACGAGATAACTAACTCGTTATAACGAGATAATTTTCTCGTAATAACGAGATAACTAACTCATTATAACGAGATAACTAACTCGTTATAACGAGATACTAACTCGTTATAATGAGATAACTAACTCTTTATAATGAGATAATTATCTCGTTATAACGAGATACTAACTCGTTATAACGAGATAGCTAACTCGTTATAACGAGATACTAACTCGTTATAACGAGATAATTAATTCGTTATAACGAGATAACTAACTCGTTATAACGAGATAACTACATGTAACTCGTCATAACGAAATACTAACTCGTTATAACGAGATAACAAACTCGTTATAACGAGATAACAAACTCGTTATGACGAGATACTAACTCGTTATAGCGAGATAGCTAACTCGTTATAACGAGATACTAACTCGTTATAACGAGATAACTATCTCGTTATAACGAGTTATTATTTTTTTAATCTTGTCAAAAATGAGCCTATCCGGCTTTCGTAATGAAGGAACTGCTATAATAAAATTATTTTTTATGCCCCCGTAATCGAAGATTTCGGGGGCAAATAGTTTTTGCCCCGTTTGATTGCCCACAAAAACTTTAACCTGTTCCATAACTTCTGATTGGTTGGAGCTATAATGCTTTCATATTTCACATGTGTATACTTTGTGACAAGACTTTTCTTTGCGAACCAACATATTTTACCTCTTGACCTAGACCTTGGAGTTTGACCTACTTTTGCAAAATTTTCCCAAACATTAACCTTGGGCATAGCTTTTGAACGATTCGTGCTAAGGCTTTCATACTTCACATGTACATTCCTTGTGATGAGACCTTTCCACAACAATTTTTGACCTACTTTTGAAAAACTATAACCTTGACCATAACTTTTGAACAGTTTGTGCTAGGGTTTTCATATTTCACAGGTGTATTCCTTGTAACAAGACCTTCTCTTGAGTACCAACAATTTTGACTCTGACCTTGACCTTGGAGTTTGACCTACTTTGGAAAACTTTAACCTTGACCATAAGTTTTGAACGGTTGGTGCTAGGGCATTTATAGGGATTTCACATGTGTATTTCTTGTGAGAAGGCCTTTCCTCGGGCACCAATAATTTTGACCATTTGACCTTGATGTTTGACTTACTTTTGAAAAACTTTAACCTTTCCCATATCTTTTCAATGGTTGTTGCTAGGGCTTTCATATTTCACAGGTATATTCCTCGAGGCAAGACCTTACTTAGGATACAAACATATTTTATTTGCATTTGAGAAAGTTTAATCTTCGCTATAAGTTGCCATACGGGGGCACCAGTGTTTCAAAAACACATCTTGTTTTACTTTTAGATTCACAATTCGAATTCACACATTGTCAAATGTAACCTGAGCGTAAGATTACTCATACGAGTCATTTGCAGCTTCTTAAACCGTACAATTTTACAACTTAAACATAGCAAATCTTTATCATTTTCTAAACATGAAGATGGATAGTTTTAAAAAGACAGCCATTTGTATCCATGTTTTCGCCTCTTGAGGGGTCAGAGTTAAAATTCCAAACTTTTACTTCACGTTTACATTAAATGAACATTGATATTGCCAAAAATAAAAAATAATTACTAATTAGAGAAAAATTAATGATAAGATAAATGACGAACGGATTCAGGTAAAAACAAATAACAACTAAAACAGGTAAAAACAAATAAGCCCAAATTTTCGAGAGAAATTTAAAACATAAGGACAACCCGGTCTTTTTAGGTCATTATTAAGGTTTCTGGGAGCCATACAATATGCGGGTTTTTTGTTTTGTTTTTGTATGGTGTGCACATTTTATTTTTATACAATCCACAAGAAAGAAATCAAGCCTGTATTGTATATTATACCGCACAAAGCTCAATGTTTATAAGTATACAATCACCTATTTAAAGATTAACAAATAAACTTAGTCTGAAATACGGTTTGTCCAATTCAACAAGCGAACATCATAATAGTACATTTATTTTTAGGCATTTGGTATGTAAAATTCATAGCTCAAGAAAACAGGGAGATTTTCAGTGTTAATCTAAAACTTTTTCTTTTTGGTCATAGGTACTTAAACGATAATCCCTTGCCGTGCAATTGTTCCTCCAAATGGATTCAAGAATTTCAGAAAAAGAAGAATCACATGTTAGGTTCACTTACTGCTGAAGACTTAAGGTGCATTACCCCCGATACCAATGAATCATCAGGTCCGATAATGCAGAAGCTGAGAAATGTTAGGCTCCAGGGCTGTGGTGAGTTTTTTCTCTAAATAAGACTTAAAATTCAGTACTCTTAGACAAATAAACAGCCAAACCACAGGAGTACATCTGTAAGAACATTAACTATTGAAGAATAATATTTTATCACTTTGGGTGATTTTTTAACCGCAACGATCTTTTATTTTCAACTTATAAACCCCAAAACACATCCCTTTAAATACATCACTATTTTTTGTGTTTTCTTAACCGACATTTTATCCTAAAGTGTACGTTCATATGTATTTCTATTTAAAATTATTTAGATAATTTAATATAAATATTTGAAAATGTAAAACAAAATTTCAGTATTGCCCTCGGTGGATATCAAACCAAAAACACCAATCATTAACGAGAGCAGCCAAATAGTGCTCACATGTAAGGGTACAGGCGAACCCAAACCATCAGTGGCATGGAAGACACAGTACCTAAATTCGTCGCATTATATCAAATACAGTGATGGAGGTAGTACTGTCGACCTTGTTATTACAAGTGCCAATGCCAGTGACTCGGGCTGGTTGACATGCAGTGCTCGAAATGTGGCGGGGAAAACAACAGACACAATGCTGTTAAGAGTCAATTGTAAGAATAAATTCAAAATTTTATTTGACTATGTTTTAATTTTCATAAGCGATAAAATCATGGGGTTTTGTCTTTCACGAAATAAATAATTGTAAAGTATTCAAGTATAGTAAACCCCGTTCTTATTGACTGAAAACCTCACACTATATGTACATTTGAAGCTATGTACATGTATATCGTATCACAGCTAAAGCAGTATCCCTCTGGAATGGAAAGACGTGGGCATATTATTTTCAAACATTACTTTTTTTTGCCGTTTCAGCTGCTCCTCAAATTCTTGTTTTGAAACCTCCCGTTCAGAGATTCCATTACTGTATTCAATTCGAGGTGTCCGGATATCCTATTCCAGAGATATCATGGTTGCATAATGGCCAAAAGCTGGTAAAAAAATCTACAGTGTACACCTATTATTCCGAACAACCAGAAGGGATATTTAAAACAACTGGATGTTTAACTTTTGAGATGAAAAATGCAAAATACAACGGGATCTACACTTTAATAGCCAGAAATGAATTCGGTACTGCTGAGAAATCAGTGAAGGCTGATTTCATGGTCGGATCGGCCGTAAGCGGTAAGAAAAAAGTTATAATTATTTCAAAATAAAGTAATCTATGCATGTAACTCTTTTGGTTGAGATTTTACGTCATTTTCTACAGACAAAAACGAGCAATAGTACAAAAATAACGTGAAGGACAAATTTAAATGAGATAAAGATTTAGGTGCATGGCTTAGGGGCAATATGATTCCTTCATTTTAAATGTTTTTTATTTAATTCAAATTCACAATTTCAAGCAATTTTGATTTGTTCGCTTGACACTAAGTACTCAAAGTCTTTCAAAATAATTGTTTTTTCTTTAGGAAACTGGTATAAAAATTACATGTGTATGATTTCCCAGAGGTATCTTGTGTTATGAAATTTCATTTAGTTTGAACGCTTACAATGTTTAAGAACATTTCGAGTTTATGCACTGCACGTATACGTATATTAATTTACAGGACATGAACATCTGGATTTATTTTGAATGACCAGGTTATAGGAGTTTTTACTCCCCTTAATCCAAATTAGAAATGCTAAGCTTGTTCCCAAAAATATTTTGGAGAATACTGCATTTGATAGAGATACAGAGGGGAAGAGTCTCATTCGACAACAGTAATATAAGTTTACCTGTGAATCAAGTCATAAAAATATTTTTTAATGTGTCTGTTACATGTACATACATGTAAATTATAGTCCGTGAACAACTCAATATTTTCCTTTCTCCTAAATTTAATTTCTACGATCTTTTGAGTACTATTTTTTTAATTTATTAACATGTCATTGTGGTTTCATTTAACATGCAGGTCCAGCTTTTGGGTCGTTTCTCAAGCCCAGACTTCCAGGGAGGAGGAACGTCAACCCAATTTTGCCTTTTCAAAGAAACTCTAAAGAAAAAGATACTCCAACGACAACATCTGTAAAGAAAGGGGAATCCCCTGCTGTATGTGTTACATGTAGTCTTCATTCATATACAGTAAAACTTGTCTGATCCTGACAACTCTGATTTTATTTAAATTTGCCGGATTTATATAAAGTAAATCTTATACGGTACCAATTTTGATGCACCAAATGCGCATTTCGACAAATTATGTCTCTTCAGTGATGCTCATGGCGAAACGTTGGAAATCTGAAATCAGAGGTGTCCGGATAAGATGAGTTTTATTGTATATGAATGTAGCCAATTAACTGATCGATGACACATTTTAAAAAATTGAATTTTCTGAAAACGATATGTACGCCAAATAATACCATTTTAAAAATACAATTTATAAAATTCGATGAGTTGATGAAATGAATCGTTATTTTTTTTTTTACTTTGTAATTATATTACTTTCAAGATATTCTATCTGATCTTCTCAACACAGAATATGTTTCTTCAATTTTACAACTCTTTGTAATTTTAAGATCCTTTTTTGTATTTGAACAAAGAATCTTGAATTTTACAACTTACACCTTACATCTTTAAGGTGATACTTCAAAATCAAGTTACATTCGGGCGCAGTATAATTATGCGAGTGCCCACGATCGAGAACGAATGCTTTTAAATTTGACTTGAAGTAATAAATTTCTAAGCCATAGAGCATAAAGTGTTTAAACTGCCCTAGTTTTATAATATCAGTTTTCAATCAAAATCAATCTTGAATTAACCAACACGACTTTCGTTGACTTTATTTTTATTTTTATGCATGTATAGCATTATGTTTTATTTCCTTACAAATTCAACATCGACTTAATTCAATTTTGCAGACAGTTTATTCTTATTTCAGGTATATATCGCCATCGGAATATCTGTTTTTGTTTTCCTCGCCGTTGTGCTGGCGACCATTTTCTTTGTTGTTCGTCATTATCGCCAAAAAACTACACGTCACACACATCACGTGACTTTCTCATCCAATAGCTCACAGCGACCACTGCTGAATTCTGACAGTCATGTGACATCTAAGACCCAACCACATCAAATGACAGTTATGCCTCTGGCCTCCATGAAAATAGTAGAAAACCCAGCCTATCAAATAAAGAATGTAAATTGTAAAAACTCTTGTAAGTACAATGTGCACCTGTAGATGTAATCAATTAAAGTTCTGTATCGCGTTTCTGTATTCAACAGATTTGAATTAAATCAATTTCGAATTCGCACCCTTCTGAAACGCTCTTGCTGGATTTACATGTATCTTTGCGACTTTTGTCTTTCACAGAATTAACCCCATGCTCAAAGTCATATATGATCGACAGTTTTGCTTACTCTTAAAGATGTGAAATAAGACATAAACAAGATAAAAATCTTATAATTTCATGTTTTTAAAATTTTTCAGCCATATTTTACATTAAAAGAGAAGCTATCGAATTTCTGCGAGAATTAGGAGAAGGGGCCTTTGGGCGAGTTTTCTTGGGGACCTGTAAGGACCTTACGTCACCTGGTGAGGTAACAATGGTTGCCATTAAGACACTGAAAGATGCAGCCATGGATGACGCGAAGGTGAACTTTGATCGAGAGGCGGAGTTATTAGCTACACTACTGCATGACAACATAGTCACGTTTTACGGAGTGTGTGTCGATACAGATACCTCTATGATGGTATTTGAGTATATGGAAAATGGAGACCTGAATAACTTTTTAAGGTATTAATTTGAACATAGGGTATAATATCTACAAATTACATAAACACACCTCGTTGTTCTCACCTAACAGGGATGTTCATCAATAGAAAATCACATGATATACTAGTAATCAAATGATTTCTCTAGGAATCATTCAAGGATAATTATATAGGATTAAAGTACATGTACAAACTTGCTCAATAACATGTTAACTTTACAACCCCCTATTTAATTAAATTTTGCGTAAAGTACAAACGTAACAGTTATACTACAGACCTGTAAATATTTTCTTAGTGCTTTAAGGATTACATAGTTGCGTCAGGATTTGATAAAAGTTCATGCAATGGAACACATATACAAAAAAAAAGTGGACCCCCTGCGTTCTACGGGCCTGCAAGATGTACAATTTTTGACTTATATCCTTTACATGAACATAAACATCATTCCTGCCAGATTATTCGTTTAGTACATTTCAAACTGTCTTTCAGATGCAATGGTCCCGATGCCAAATTTCTCAATAAGAGTACATCATTTGTAAAACCCTTATCGAAAATCGAACTACTTCACATTTCAAATCAAATTGCCAACGGGATGGAGTACCTTGCATCCCAGCATTTCGTCCATAGAGACTTGGCAACAAGAAACTGTTTGGTTGGAGACAAAATGATCGTCAAAATTGGAGATTTTGGAATGTCACGTGATGTCTACAGCACAGACTATTACAGGGTAGGCTGAACTTTCTCCAAATTTTTTTCGCAATGAAATCCAGTAATATTTAAGAAAATTGTGGATATTTGAAATGAAATACTTTAATAAAATTGTTTATAGAGAAATTTCATTCAATGAAATCGACATTTTTTTTTAGATACTTTGGACTTGAAATGAAGTGTAATAAGATCAAAACAGATAATTATCATTTTTGCCATTCTTTATAAAATGTGCTGTACTTAAAGAAGCGAACAGCTCGGAAAAAAAGATATTAACAATAATCCAAAAAGACAATAAGATGAAATGACGTAATATTTTAGATTAAAGTATGAAAGTTTAATTGTTTTCTGTTTGTAAAATTAATGTGTAATTGGTACAATAATCTTGGCTTGTCATTTCTTCCGGCTTCAAGCTCTGCTAAATAATTGACAGATTCGTAGAATGCAAAGGATGAAAATTTAAATTAACGCGTGGGCGCTGAAAGAATTTCTCCTAGGGTAAATTTTCCCTTTGTTAATACATTAAAAGCAATAAGGCACCATCTACAGTCAATATATTAGAAGTAATATGTCGGTATTTCCTACAAAAACACGGTGTATTCCGAAAACAGCGTTAAATTTTCTTCTACCTAGTATATAGACCTCTCACACTATTGCACTCCAAATAACTTAAGACGGCATTATCATTTTAAAAAAGTGTTCAAATAAATTTAAAATTGGAAGGTCATAATGAAATACACGGCAAAGGAACTACATACTGTATGTACATGAAACAAACATCTATCCAACATTAGAATAATAATGAAATAAATTATTGTAAATTAATCATATGGACATTTAAATACTGAAATTGCATACAAAATGCAAAATATTTAAAAACAGCTTTCGTTAATTGCTATAGAAAGTCATCCTATTATTTGTTTGGTTCAAAGACAGTCTGACAGTTAATAATAAAAGGAGACCCAGATCTTGATTTTTTTTTTTCAGAGTGACCTTGACTGACAACTAACGATTTATATATACTTAACTATTATTTATTGCCTGAATTTGAAGTACTTTGTTGTTATCATAATGATTATCTTATGTTGCTACAGAAAGATCTCTAGCCAAAAATAATTATGAATTCCACAGAAAATTCACCTGCTTGACATGCATGAAATCATCAACATTCTTAAATATGAAAAAAATGAGATGTAATACCTTCCTGCGAAAGAAAATCTTCATCATATTATTTTGTCTTCAGGTAGGTGGATCTACTATGCTTCCTGTGAGGTGGATGCCTCCTGAATCCTTGCTGTATAGAACATTCACTGTTGAATCGGATGTTTGGAGTTTTGGTGTGGTATTATGGGAAATCTTTACATACGGGAGACAACCGTGGTATGAATTGTCAAATCACGAGGTAGGTATATTGTTTTTAATATAAATGATCATGACTGTACAGTTTCAAACCAAATATTATTTTAATATTGAAGTCTTTACACCAGACTAAAGTTAGAAAATGTGGAAATGCATCTTTGAAAGAGGTTGCGTACTTGAATAAAAATCGGTATTTGCTCCGTATCTTTCAAAATTCCCACTCGGCGAGAAAATATATATTTTTAGCTCACCTGAACCAAAGGCTTAAGTGAATGTTTTCTGATTCGAAATTTGTCTTTTCTCTTTAGACCTTGCCGCTGTCGTAAACTTTTAACATTTTCTTCTTCTCCATGGCCCAGTTTTACAAAATAACTTACGACTAATTAAGACCAAAATATAATTGTGCGAAAAACTTTCTTGTTTATATTTATTTGAAAGTAAAGTTCATATCTTTAAAAAGAATTTAAAACGATATGTTATACAAACAAATTAAAACAGATTCATTAATTTTGCAAGATTTACGATCAACTAAAGTTTTCAGATTGGTATCAGTCGTAAGTTCTTTTGTAAAACTGTCAAAGTTCCTCTTCAGAGTACGGAACTGGTCAATTTCAACCAAACTTACTATAAAGCATCCTTGGCCGGTGGGAATTCAAGTTTTTTTTCAAATGAAGGGATAATTAAGAATTTTAATTGGGGTCATCTGAAAATCTTCTCAAGAACCGATTGTAGGATGGGGCCACAACAAAAGATCATAGTTTTACTTGCGAATATATGGAAAACATTTTTAAAATCTTCTCAAGAAGAGGAAGGCCATGATGATTAGACATTGTATAATTCACGATGAGCGTCTTACTTTAAATATCCTATCAAATAATTGGTCTATTGCACCTACTGCTTTGCGGGGGTTTTATTCTTAATAAATTACTTTATTTTGCAGGTCATTCATTACGTAACAAACGGAAGTACCTTACAGCCACCCGGAACTGACATATGCCCCGAGGACGTGGCAAAATTGATGGCGTCATGTTGGAAACGGCAACCCCATGATCGCCTATCAATAAAAGAAATTCATTACAAACTTGATAGAATATGTATGTCACAACCAACCTATCTCGACTTAATAGCCTGAAATCTAGCGTCATGAGCGCTGATTTGGAATAATGTCATGTCCTCAAGGCTGCTTTCCAGACGTGGCTCTTCAAGACTTCCGGGATTTTTTCATCATTTGTTGAGAATGACAAGAGCAGAACCTCTGATGTGTATATAAGTATCCTCTTAATTATCGCAGTTTTCAAGGGATAATCAATATAATTTGTTCTGAGTTACCTTTTTATAGGAATTTACAAAAAATGTCTCGACGATGAAACGTTCGTTATCGACTAGGATGAAGAGGCTTTTGTGTGCCCACGTGTGATAGCAGACATATCTTTTAAGAACATAAAAGGGACAATTCTGGTAGAGAATATCATTCTTGGTTTCTTTTTCCTGAAACATGGTATTGAATTAACCTGTGGATATAGAGTTTCCATGTTTCACAAACTATCCTTTTACTGGTAATACAACACTTGATTTATGCTGCTGATTGAATGGTGTCGACCGGTGTCACAATGTATTTCCGTGTACGTGCAGAGGAAATGAAATACAATGTATCTGAAATAGCTCGTTCTCAGTTTGCAATAGAAATTTCTACAATTTCTGTATTGGCCATTTCATTGTAAAATATAATATGTTACATAAGATGTAGAAACAATAGTCTCTTTTGAAAAAAAGGTTCTAAGATTGAATAAATTGATATTAAGAATAGGGAATTTTAAGAAAGAAACAAATCAAAATTGCCCTTAAAAAGTATCATGAACGTTTAATTTTGAATATTAATTTTTTTTTTTTTTTTGTCTATGAAGTAAAAAGAGGCCTTATAAAGTCACGGTGTTGCCCTGTATGTATGCTGTACAGAGATTCAGATACATATGAGAGAAAACAAGTTTTTCTTTAAATTTGATCAATACGAAAACACAGTTAAATGCGCTAAAATTCCTCGGCAAATAGTTTTGCAAATGTAATATTTTTGTGACAGTAGCTAAACACAAATTTGCCGTTTATGTTGAAAAGACTGGTTGGATTTTTTTAAACATTAAGGAGTCATTCGATAAAGACTGCTGTCCGGACGTAATGGAATTTGCCACTCAAAGTATATTAACTAATCGATCGATCCGGACAAAGAGGCCTCACATGGGGAAAAGGACTCGGATAAGCGACAAGCTGACCCAAATAATTCCTTGAACAAGATCAGTTCTGACACAACTGCTTCTACGATGTCATTTGTTTTAGCTGTTAGCAGGAAACACAAATATTATATTATAGGACAGAGAATCAAAGATATTTAGAGCTCGTAATGACTTTCATACTATTTGATTAAAATTCCATGCATGTGTTTTTTTTTAAGGCAAACAATACACAATGAGACAGTCAAATTTGTATTTTATTTATCCAACAATAATACAATTTACTTGGCTTTGTATGAAAAGTTCTTATCCATTTCTATTTTTTAAAAATCTGTATGTACCCTTCACATATAAGACTTTTGTATATAGATGAATTAAATGAATCTTGGTACACTTGTACTTACAGTATTTGGGAATTTCGTATAAAGTACATGTGTACTTGTTCCCTGTGATGGTGACACTTGGAACATTTATAAATATGGAAGATTGTTTTATATACGGCTGGAACCGATTTTGTCCTATTTTCAGATATTTATAAAATAATGTATTTATAAAATCCAAAATGTTTACATGTGTATTACTTTACTGTATGAATGCAAACCCTTACATGTCTGTTACAAATAAAAATATTTCCAAATCTTCAGACTATACATGTACATGTGTTCTATTATTATAGAAATTTGTATAATGTGCACAATTGTACCTATTTAATAATTTCGTTTATTGTTATTTGAAAATTGTCCTGAGATCTAGAGGATTTTTTCATAAAAGTACACTCCAATCTTTTAACTTTAACCTCCTTTTATATATAAAAAAAAAACTTCCAGCTTTTACATTAATCTGATTCTTAAACACAATGGATGAACAATGATTCGGTGACTTGCATGTAAAAACATCAAATTTATTTGATTTGCACCGAAAAAATATTGAAATCAATTCAAAAAGGGGAAAAAGTGCTATTTCATCAAATATTGCCACGATTTTAATTTGACTATGATTTGATAAACAATCCTACTTTAGTCTACTGTAATTGCAATATACTGTATTATAGTACACAGTGTCCTTAATTTGCGGTATAATTCATTTCTGTTTCGGTTTGACAATAAAATTGTTAAAAAAGCAATAAATTTCTACTGAAAGAGAAAGAAACACCCACTTAAACTCATACTAGAACGATATATTAACGATATATTGATAAACCATAAGTCTGTGAGGAGACTTTTGCACTACTGACTTAAAATCATTTGACCTTTTCTCACTACAACTTTACGTCGACTAACAAATTCATATACCTAAGTTTCTTACAACTTCTAAACTTGTACCAAGATTACCTGAAATCAGACCAATGTACATGTAGCACGAGTGGCACGTAATTTTGAAAACATTTTATATATTATGATTCTTTTTTTTTATCACCACAGGAAAAAATCAACTCTCAAGAAATCGATTTTGGGTTGAAACTTTTTTATAATCTGTTAGTGATATCTACAGTTGTCGACAATCTGTCTTGTTAGGTATATACTTAAAATTTACTTACTTTTTGCTGACGAATTTATTAATCTGTGAGAGAAAAAATAGAATTAAGAAATCAAATCCGTTGAATTATCTCATTTTTATTACGATAAAGTTTAGGCATTTTGTGAATAGACTTGAATGATGTTATGATAGGTCGACGCTAAACAAAGAAAAGTCTTGAAATGGCCCGGACAGACGGGGGGATGGGCGATAAGACAGACATCATATCAATGCATATTAAGCTGTTCTGTTGTGTACTACTTGTAAATCTAAAACAATGATCGCTTCCTGCTAAACGCATGATGCTTTCAGTTTCTTTTCATTGACATTGACATTCAAAGACATTGAATAAGTTTATATAATTTAATTTAATTCTGGTTGTAACACTTCATTTGATTGGATTAAAAAAATTACTTTCTATCGTATAAATAATGTTCGCTTCAATTGTCGACACGGCCAGGTGCTGTTATACGACGTCCAAATATAAGAATTCAATGCTTATATATATATATATCCTAGGTGAAATCCCGCTCAAGCGGGGGGGGGGGGGGGGATTGAGTTTATACCACTACCGACAGAAAAATTCCAATAAAATATGTCGTAGTTTCTACTGACAGCCTACAGGCTTATAGCAGGAAGAAAGACTTTGTTCGAAATCCCGCATTTAGCTTTGGAGCAGAAGTAGATGTACGTCCCCCCTTTTGTAGCTTGAAAAATAACACAATTTCATTAATTGACATTTATTGTGAAACCTGTTAAACTATGATATGGATATGGTACTCCATCTGCTCTTATTTCATTTCCGTCAATTCCGAGTATTTGATACAAAAGACTGTATTCAGAAAAAACAAACAAACAAACAAACAAAACTGAAATATATTGATTAAAGCACAAAATTTTAACAGCTTTAATTGTATTTGAACAATACCTTATTCATTAATTTTCTCTTTTCAAGCAAGCAAATTTATTACGAAGTACAAATTGTACTTCGGGTTCGTTCCCACTATGCTCTCAGTGAAGAATATGATACATATTTTACCGATATATTTATTAGGAAAACCTACTAATATACATTTGTATATATATATATATATATATATATATATATATATATATATATATATATATATATATATATATATCTATATCTATATATATATATATAATTGTTGATTTCAACTCGTATTACCTCCATAAAAACATGTACACGTTGTCAGTGGACATTGATAATTACCTACTGATCTGGCTGTCCTTCTTTTTAAAAACAATTATTTTCGTCTATGGTTCATGCTGAATTCATCGCTTCGTTTTCAATGTTATGTGATCCCATGCTTATTTTATAAAGCGTTTTAGAAAATCAAAACATTATTAGAGCGAATTTGTACAATTCGTCCCCACAAGAAAATGGAACAATGGAGGTTTATTTTGTGTGTGTGTGTAAATTATGTAATGCGCTATACCTTAATATAGTATTTTATTTTTTACGCATGCGTTGAATAACAAAGTAAGTTAGAAACCTCTTGTCCTAGCTGACTCTCATTGTGTACATTTTGATAACATGATATCGGTTTCATGTATCTACTTTAAAACTATACAAAGTTTAAGAGGTTCGTTCCCGAGCTTTTGAGCAGATTTTTGTCTTGACTTCTATTAAAAAAGTACTGCATAATGTTTAAGTTCTTACAATAAATTTGGATTCTACAGTGCCAATTTAACTATATTCAATTAAAACCCCATGATTAAATTCCATACCGAAAGCATTAAGTGAGGAACTATATTTTGTGGCGGAAAGTTTTTTTTTAGAAGAAAATTATCAATTTTTCTCTTTCGAAGTATTTACAGTATTGTTAAGTTTGGATTCCTACTTTTACATGCAGTCTGTACAAAGAGTTATTTTGTGCAGTGAACTGTTTTATGCTGGTCCTAGATTAAAAAACAAATCAACTATCATGAATTCTATCATCATATTTGGAAAAATATAACAAATATATTGTGAAAGTTCTGGGGAAAAAATAGCTCAAGTTAAGATTACAATTAACATTATTTAAGTAATATCTAAAAATTAACATCACTGACCCCAACTTTTAATTTTCTTCTCTGAATATATAAGATAATTTTAACAATTCTGTTTTAATTCGGAAAAATGTCATTACTTTCAAATGATTTTATTGCTTGTTAAATTTTTAATGCCAGAAAAATGGACATTTTCTGAGTGCAGAAAGGTCAAATAATTGACAATGTGAATTAATTTGAAACTTTTTTTGTTGTCACCAATTTTAACGTGACTATTCAAGTGAAAAAAGACTGTGTTTGTTCCCATAGTTTAATGGATAAAAATATTAGACTAAAAATTTATTTATGTGTTATCGTAATTACAGTGCAAAAAGGTCTTAAATGCTCCGTAACGCCTAAAGAAGTCCATTGACCCCCATTTTTTGTTTTGATTTTTAATTAAGCATTGTTTGTAGATTCTAAAAATATACTTGATTAAAATTTCTCAATACTTTTGATAACAGGATCCCTCCTCAAGCACTTTAAGTTCAGAGTTAGAAATGACGACTCGAATATTCTTTGTCATCACATTGACAATCATAACTGTTTACTAAGACAATAAATAGAACGAAGGCCAGTTTAGGAACTAAATTTTAGGGAATGACTCGGTAATTTGTTTATCCCTAACTTTATGAAATACTTCAGCTTCTATCTATAATGCGTCGGGTCCCAGCTGAAAAATGTCTGGAATATCCATGATTCCACAGCGTTCTAAGAAAGATAACTCAAAACCATGAATGTACGATACACATGTACCATATAAGTTCTTTCTTAAATTTTGAAATTATACCATATAAGCTCAGCTTCATGTCACAAAAAGTATATTTGTATACACCGGCCATACAAGTCCTACCATACAATATGATTTTATTAGTTCTTCAGCAAGAACTGAAGTTAAATTAAACATGACA